AAAAATGTAAAAAAAAAAAGTTCTGTCTAAATTAAAAAAAAAAAAATGTTCAGTAGAATTTGCCAGTAAAACTATGCGGGACTCGTGTGTGTGTGTGAAGATTTTTAGATATTTTTAGTCATTTAATTTCTCTCTAATTTAAATTTTGTTAATTTGAAATGTAAAATGTAATTTTCATGCTTCAAGGAATCACATTCTGTAATTCAAAGAAATGGTCCTTATCAATATCTGCAGGGTCTTTAGTAATGTCCACTTTTTCATTCTGGATATGAAGAAGAAAGGACAGATTTTTGTCCTTTCTCTTTTCTCTTGGTCAGTCTGGATAGATATTTTCAAGGAAACCATTTTGGTGTCACTGGTTTTCTCTTTTCCATTTCACTGATCTCTCTGATCTTCCTTCTTTCACTATTGCTGCCTTCTGCTACTATTTCTTTCATCATCCTTACTTTCCCTTTTTTCCTTTCTTTTTCAAGTTTCTTAAGGTGGAAGCTTAGATTACTGGGTCAGGAACTTTCTTCTCTTTTTTTTTTCCCAGAGCAAGCATATTGTATGAATTTCCCTGTAGGCTTGCTTTAGATAAATTCCACAAATTTTAATAGGCTGCAATTTCTTTTACATTCAGTTCTAAATGTTACATAAAGACTTTCTTTACTCATGAGCTATTTTAAGATATGCTGTTTAGTTTCTAAATGTTTGGGTACTTTCCAGGTATCATTCATATATTGATTTCTAGTTTAATTCTATTATGACAAGAAATTTGTTAAAACTTGTTTTATGTCTCAGAATGATATATCTTGGTAATTGTTCCATGTACACTTGAACACTTTCTGTGTCCTACTGGTGTCAATTAATTCAAGTTCACTGATAGTGTTACTTGGATCTTCAACATCCTTACTTATTGGTTGCCTGATCTCTTGTTCTGTTACTGAGTAGAAGTTAACAGCTACAAGCATAACTTGGATATTTTTTTTCCCAGTTATATGAGCTCCCTAAATTTCAGACCTACTTTTTTAAGTTCATACACATTTAGAATTGTTATGAGTTCTTGATGAATTTCCTCTTTTACCATAATGTCCCATTTTAACCCTGGTATTTCCCTTGTTCTGAAGTCAACTTCTGATATTGGTATCATCACTACAGCTTTGTTTTGATTGGTATATGAATGAAATATACTTTTCTATTCTTTTACTTCCATGTTCACTATGATTATACTATAAGATCACTTTGTTTCAGACAACAATTAGGAGTTTTGTCATTCCAATCTAAAACTTTTAATTGCTGTTTGTTGTTCATTCACATTTAGTGTAACTTATGGTTAGGGGTGAACTTATATAAATCTTTTTTTTTTTCTGATTGTATCCTTGTTTTTTATTTTTGTTCATTTATCTATTCTTGCTTCCTTCCCCCCCCCCCACTTTTTTTTGGATAATTTCACTATTTTAAATATCCAACTTTAGTTATCTATATTGGCTTTTTTTCTGTTTAAATTTTTGTGTGTTTGTTTATATTTGTCCATGATTTCTATTTGTTTTCTGTGGGAAACAGAAGCAAAAGCATATTTTTTCATTCTTACAACTTTTCTTTGTTGAAAGAAAAGATTATGAAAGAATATTAAGCACTTATGGAAAAATAAAGTGGCCATTCATATGCGAAGATGAAGTATATTGCAGTTTGCTATTTATTAGCTAATATAAGGTGCAGCTCTAGTCATTGCATTAGATTTTAAAACAATCATATTTAAAAACATTGCCTCCCACTGTGTGCCTATCTGTGGTCATGAGGTCAATGACATACTTTATATTCATTCCATATTGTTGTTGCTACTCCAACAATAAATTTCTAAGGTTAGACATGTTGTCTTTTGTGGGCAGTGTTTCTTAACTCCTCCTACTTTTTGCTTAGTTATGGTATCTTTATCACAATTATCACCATTCCACTACTATGTTCTGATTCCACATTCCCACAAAAAAATTATTTTCTGCACATGACAAACACTTCAATGGAAATATCATTCAGAAAGAAATAGGATAAACTTATATTTATAGGAAAACATATTACTCATCTACTGAAGATAAACTTCACCTGGTTTCTTTCATAGTCATGTCAATATATTACTCATAATGAGCATTGAAATAAAAGTCCCTATTAACCAAATCAAGAATATCATTGTTTTGCATATGAATGATAATCACAGACGAAAACTTTTCAACATGCTCCTAGGTTTCAAACGGATATTAATATCTCTTTTTTGCAATGCTTCTAATATGCAAAACACATTCAAATTTTTAGAGAATTAGCCCATTGAAAATTTATCCTTATTATCTTCTGTGTAACCTATCTCAAAAGTTTTCTTTTTCTATTTCTCCATGCAAATGCGGCTTCTATAGTTCAGCCACAAGCTCACATTTTTTGATAAAACTTTAAAATAATTTTTTAAGGTTTTAAAAACTAGAGAAATAGCTAGCGTAGCACCATCCCAATCATGTGCTTGCTTTTAATTTGTAATTTCCTCTTTTGCACACATTCTGCTGGGAGAAATGACAAAACTTTTTTTTTTCTAGAAAACAAGTTAAAAAGCAGATATACATAAAAGGAAAAACTTGTACAGAGTAGACTGTGGCTTGAGAACTATTTATGCAGCATCAGAAGACTAAACCAGACTCTAGCCTGGCCATAAACTAAACCCACGCCCAA